TCCCGCCCTCGCCCGCCCGAACGTCACCCAAAAGGAGCTCCGCGGAACAAACGCTCTGTGGAACAAGGAGCGCCCAACCCGCCACGGCCACCCCGTCCCTTCCTGAGCAGCCTCTTAAGATACAAGGCTGCAAATACTGTATACATCATAGAAGTCCCAATTAAAAACACACATGACGACACCTTCGAAAGAAAAAAAAATGTGATTTTTTTTTAAATGTGGTTTGAACTGTCAGCATCTCTAAAGCAGAATGGCAGCTTCAGCAATGACACACACATGAAATTGGAGGACAAAGTTCACTTGGAAGAGAACATTGTTCACTTGGAAGAGAAGCTTAACCAAGTAACTGTTACGTATAGCATTCTAGTTCTGTGCTTTGCTATATTAGTGTAAATCCTGAAATGCTCGGTGAAAATTAAAGAGATTTTAGGCTTATACCGATGCAACACAGCACAACTCATTTTTAGCACATGAGACAAATTAATTTTAAATAGTGTTTTCAAATCAGCGCTTTCAGTAGCATAAGACACTACATACGGGAAACACTCAGTGCTGCACTGGAGCTCAATGCAGGACTTGGCTAATCAGAAATCTAACTAATTGGAAACAGACACTGTCATTACACACATGTAGAGTTGTACTGGGAGAGTTTTGCCAGTGAGTTTCTTCTTGTAGCCAAACTCTAACTGCTTCTACAGCTATAAGTATCCTCTTTAACACACATAGCAAGTCCAGTCACCAGGAATATAATCCCTATGTTCTTCCTAGCATGCAAGGATCTTGATCACACAACATTTTATAAGGCTGTGCTATTCATAATGCTTATTTTCAAACAGTGAGAAGTCTTATCTATTCTTGAGATGCAGCCATCATCCTCACAGTGTACTGTTCAGAAACAAATTCTTAATTTTCACAGAGGCTTCTTTATCCCATTATAGAGCAGAAGACACCATGGTTTCCACAGACTGAGTCTTCCATTCTATCCTAACACAATCTAAAAATAGTGTGAAAGCACTTAGGTAGGAATCACCCTAAAACATCCATTGAAATTAACTCTTCCATCGATATTTATCTGAAAGGAAGGGCATACAGTGCAAATAATGTTGCAAATTAAAGCAAAGCTAACACAGATGGTCTATATAGTGCTGGTAACAAATGTTAGTCAATGTATCAACTAGCAGCTTGTGCAGCTCTCTAACCTGTAAACAAGTTGAGGTATTTTGCTTACATCCCATCTTGACAGTGCTGAGTATTCAACAGTATAGCAAACTGGAAATGCTAGTTTTATCTATGAAACATTGATTTGCCCAGGAATTAGTTACCTCAATAATAATACCTTTGATGTGCATTGTATAAATACTGATATATACTCTTTAATACTAATTGGAGTCACTGGTGGAACATCTGCAGCACATTCCCTGCTTATTAAAGCCAACTACCTGCATCCTACACAGTAGAGGAGCAAGAGAAGATCGCTGATACTTTCCTCAACTTTTACAAGAGCCTCTAGTCTCAAGATGGGTTTTCCAGGGTCTAGCCTGCCATACTATTCATCATGTCAACCCTTTATCCGGGATAATATAGCAGCAACAGCGCAGCTCACTGCAGAAAAACGCTCCCGTTCTGCTTGAGACCCGCGACGGGACGGGAGGAGCAGCTAGGGCAGCACGGCGCACAACGCGCCTGCGCACTACCACCGCCCGGGAACAATTTCACGCTCCTCAAAGCGCGGCGGTGGCTGCGGGCCGCGCATGCGCACTGCAGGCCAACGCGCACTTTTTCGCGACGCTCGCCTTGTCGCTCACCTCCTCGCGCCGGTGTCCCGTGCTCACCTGCCCCAGGCCGGCCGCCCGGGCGGCGGCGATGCT